GTAGTCACACAAATGATTGTTAATTCTTAAATAGAATTAACAGAATTGCGGTGTGAATTTCACAGACCGCGCCAATCACACTGGGCTATTATACAACGGTTGCTTTGTACAGTTGCTCGAGATACGGAATAGATTCTCTCTTTGTTCGGTCCAACAGATGCAACTGCCAGAAATCCGGCAGTGATTATGACGTCATGTTTCCCGCATCACGTCACGTCTTGCACAATCACACACGCACGCACGCACACATGCACGGGCGCCGCGTGATGCGACGTTGATGTCCTCTCGTGATTGTTTACCACAGCTGTACATTAGGGTTTAACCTTTGAAATTCAGGGCGAATACACCAGAGACCTCTTTTAGCCCGGGCAAAGGTGGTTAAATCGGCGGCAGTTGGTACAGGCTCGGATTTGCGAGGCAAATTTACAGTAAAGGCGACCTGAAAGAGATGTAGGTTGAGACTAATTGAAAAGAAATTCACATCTTTAATACAAGATAGTGAGTCTTATTTTACATTGGTGACATCGTCTCAACATAGAGTAAAACACAGATCAAAATTAGAGTAGGCCTAAGCATACTTCTACGTAGCTCTTTATGATGAGTATGACAACTTGAGTTTAAAATCTTTCTGAAAAATCCTTACAATTAACTTTGAATCCTTTTATGAGTACAAAAGTATTAAATGTATCATTACAATAACCTTGATCCACAGACTGCAGAATATTCTCTGCTCAGCCTTGTGTCGAAACCTTGGTTTGCCACTGAAATGTTTCTTAATTAAATGTATCATATATTAATTTCATAATCATTATTGTTTTTTATTCTTATTTTGTAGTCTTTGATAATTGTTTTCTAGTGATAAAGTATCACAAGTTCAACAAATGACAATCTCAAATAAAGATTTGTGACAGTTTATTTTGTTCAACTTTGTCCTCGATGTTGTTATCATACTTTGATTAAAAGTATTTATCACTTTGTGTATTCTTGGTTATATATTATTATTTTAAATTATTAATCCTTGAAAAATTATTCCATTTAATCAAAATTCAAGCTGTGTGTAGCTTAAAAATACTTCATATTGACCATTAAATAAGTTTAGGTCATTTTGGTGGCCAATATCTTGAACTAAATAATTGAAATGATTTACCGGTCATAAAAGTTGAACTTGAAATTTTGTTTGTGTTTTCCGGTTTTAGGCTATCTTTCTTAGCCGCTGGGACCCATTGACCCTTCTCAGCTGATGGCAAAATATTTGGATCAATCACTAATCTTTTAAAATGCATTTAAAATGACTGTAACTTAATATATAGTCAATGGTATGAGCATGCCATTTAACTTATACACACATGTCACCATCAACTATCAAAGTATAGAAAAATAAAAGAGAAAATTGAATTTATACAGTAGAACACATTTGAGTAGCTATGTTATATTTGGATTAAAAATTCAATTGGCTTCTGCTGGTCCATATTGATATAATGTTTACTTGAGTATCCAGAAGACATTATAATGTAACAACACCCTCTCCTCTGTGCTATGTGATGACAGCATCTATTAGATGATTGGTTGATCAGCTGTTGTCTATTTACAGCTGTTGTGTCATATGTTCTCTGATGTAAGCTAATTTGCAGTAGTAGGGCAAACTGTGGTCATCAGATCTATTGTCCTCTTTTAGTTGTTTTGCTACATTGTCATATAAATTGTTGACCGACTTAGTACAGTTAGTTGGATTTATGAATTGCAAATATTGCTTTTTTAGGTGTGATCTAAAACTGTAATAATAAATATATTACAGTATTCTCTTTAGTAGTTTTTCTCATAGATATTGCCACTGAAATGTTTCATCAACTTTTGTTAGCCCTTAGTAGTAAGCTCAGTAAAAAAAAACTGGATTTGGGAATTGCAAGTATGGTATTTAGATTTCGCTCGTTGAAGTTTCGCCCGTGAAGTTCGTTGGGGTATTTAGATTTCTAGAGATTGAGATCTTCAAAAGAACAAAATGTTTATGGAACCTATTGTTGGGATTAAACCATAATACATCTGAATTCAATTAGGTTTTTTAGTCATAGTAGCCTTGAATTATGTTTGAAATTGCAATAGGACGGCTTTGATTCATGGTACATGTTTAACAGTTATAGTTTACTTTTTCTTCAAAATGTTCAAGGGAATAAACTTCAAGATATAGTATAGGCACATATATAACACAGGAGTACAATCACTACTAAAATTTAATTCAGTAATCAAAGTTTCTAAATTCATATGTACAGCTCAATTTGTTTTTGTGTGTAATTATAATTACCTTAGACATAGTTTGGTGTATTTTGTAATCATGCAAACTATGTTTCTTCTTCCTACATCAATTGGAGTAATTCAATATCCAAACCATGCCACATTTCCTTTATCTATAGGCCTAGATTTGATAACCTATCACTTGTCACCTAACCACACCTGATAACAATTTTCAATAGTGTGAGAAAGTACATAGTCCCCAACTTCCGAAGTGTCTCTTTTCTTCCAATATCAATCATAAGATGGGAGAGGAAGTTTGGCTCAGCCAATGATAGATAGATATTGCAGAGTGAGTTGGTCAAGTGGTAGAACTCGGGGCTTTAGTGCATGAGGTCCCGAGTTCAAATCCTGCCAATCACCAATGGATTTAATCTATGTGATAATGCCATGACCTTATGTGCTCCTTTGTATAGCAAAATCCTATGAAGTTTTGTAAGAGATTAATCCAATTACTGTGACCTTCTATTTTTTTACTTGTGAAAGTGCATTTGGGCATATGGAGAAAGGAGTTTACAGGATTAGGCAGTTATTTTTTAGAAATATCAACATTACATATATCTACATTATATGGTAAAAATACTCGGAAATTGGTTCCCTACGAAGCAAAGCTATGTCTCAACATTACAAGAATGTTAAACATGTATGCCTTGAGTCTTCATAACTTACACCACACTATGTCATTTCACCATAATTAATGTTCTTACAAATAATCCAATTATATATAAAACGAGTGGGTTTTAAGTCGGAAACACTAAAATCTACTTATCTTAAACATATGTAGGATATTTGAACCAAAATTGGTTTATTGACTCTTTTCTAAAAATAGTTATGTGCAATATCATTATGTGGTATGGGTAATTGTTTACTACACAATATGAGTATAGTATCAAAGTTATTGTAAACAATTAATTTAACTTGAGATGTAAACCAAGAGACTAGTGGTGCATGGAAGACGTAGAGTGGTGTTGCAACTGAAATGCCAGGCAGTGGCCCGGGGATCAATTCTGTAGTTAGCTCAATCATCTGTGTAGCTGCCTCTAGTGGTCTCTAGTAAACATCTCGCCTCACATTGTGTAGTCATCAGTGAATTGTGGCCGACACATTCATCATGGCACAACAACACAATCAACGGACATTTCCTTGAAATATATTATTGTTGAGTATTTTGAAACTTGTAAATGATTTAAATGCTTGGAAAAACTTTAAGGTTGTATAGAAAATTATATTTCGTCTACTAGTGGTTTTACAGCGTGGTTTATGTCGTTGAGGTTCAGTGACTTTTTCATCGGTGGATTTTGGTTAGGTAATTCTGATGTTATCTGTTATTTTCAATGTTTGCTCATGCTCTTTCGTGGCTTATCCTGGTAGACTGTTCTGTCTTTGAAGTGCAAAGAGGATCTTCCGTTATATATTATAGTTTCATGGATATCCTGGCCTATTTGGACGGGCAAATAGAAGATTATAAAAGTTTCCTATCCTCTTAATAATTAGCAAAACATACATTCAATCTTTGTGAAACTGGTGGGATATTTTTAGATTTTATTTGTAGAAAACGCTGTGCAACTACATTTTATATAAGGTTTTTGATTTTTTAAATATTAAATTATCGTAAGCAGCTGGCTGAAGACTCAAAAAAAGTACTGTAGAAGTACCGTTACACTTTAAATATTGGATAAGTTCCTCAGACAGGTTCAAGGCCTATATAGACAGGCAAATAATTTAGGTGAATCGGTGGCTCAGTTGGTAGTGTCACAGACTTTGGGCCCAAAGCAGCGATGTCGTGGGTTTGGATCCTGGTCCCACAAACATTTTATCAGTACAGTTCACCTTCGTACTGTACCGGCTCACCCCTTGCATTGCTAGATACGTTCCTCACACAGATCTGTAGTCTCTGTAGACAGGCAAATGCAAGACTAAAAGAGGCCGTCAACCTCAAAAAAAAAAAAAAAAAAAAAAAAAAAAAATTAAAGATGAAAGATGAAAAAAGCTGCTAACCTCTTATAAAAATAGAATACATACATTCAATTTGACTTACAATTATTTACACAAGTATTTAATTCTAACTGATGACAATGTCTACAACTTTGCACATCCCATCTATCAGACCAGCCGACGGCAATTTTTATTTAAACTTAAGAATCCAGTTAAGTGAGCCAGTCACAGAATTGCTAGTGTCTAAAATTCTATTTACTACCTAATTTTCTATTGATGACATAGTTAATGGGTCATAACAGTTCCTCTACCTCACAATACACCCATTAGTTGTACTTAGTTAAAAAAGTATATGTATTCATATAAAAAGAAATTGGTAATTTACATAAGCACAATCTATCGGTGGCTCAAACTACGACAGTTTTGGTAAAAAAACTGGCAACAACTTTAACATGAGGATGGAATATCTAGTTATAATTCAATAGTCAAAGGTTCTAGAATTGACTGTCGAATACTTAAGCTATAACTTAATCAAGGTAATTGAGTGTACAGCATTAGAATAAAATACATAGGTAAGGTTTGTGACTGGACCCTGAAAAAGCCAGAAACTAAAACTAAACTCAGCTGTCCTTGATCATCAGATTTAATAGTCCTGGTTATAAAACACCCCAGTAATAAAGCAGGCATCTCACTCCACTCTACACTGGGTTAAAATGACAAGTAGCGTCCCCAAAATTGGTAATACAACAATAATAATAATTGTTTGTTTTCTGTTGCAGAATGGACCAAACAGACGTTACAGTACAAGGTGGAACATCCGGAACTGGGAGTGAGGGAGAAGTTAGACCTGGCACTACTGCCGCAGACTGAGAGGGAGGGGAGGTATCGCAGGTATGTGCCGGAGGGTCCGACAGACGGAGTGTTGCCGAGGTACATCCACAACAACGACAAGTTCCTCACAGGACCTCAGCTCAACATCAATGCACCACCTAGGCAGACCAAGGACTTAAAGTTGGGTAGGTCACACATCCTGTTCTAGAAAAAGATCAAATTATTGAAAACTGAATGAATGCATTTTTATTACAGCACTCAGCTGTATGACAGAAAATGTACAAAACTTATTCGATGATAAAAAGTATCTTACATAAATTTTATGTAAGCTACTTTTAGCGAATTTCCCATATAGGGAATAAGCTGTTACCATAGTACTAGTGATAAGACCTGGACCTGGGACCGATTTACTTTTTCATTTTGGGGGTCCCTAGTGGCCAAAAACACCATCCGTCCAAATTCATATATATATATATATATATATATATATATATATATGTATATGAAACTTTTGTAAGATTTAGGCCTATATAATTTACAATTTTCATTCTTGGTCACAAGAATGTTTAAAAAAAATTTTCCATTATAGAACTCATAATGTTCAATAGGATAAATCCAATATGTCTCCATAATTGAGAACTCTCAATGATATTATCCATATTGTATTTAAGCCATCTTGGCCTTAGGAGTGTTTAGTTGACAATAATTGTTCTGTTTATTTTTATGTTTATTCTTCTGTTCAGTAGACAGTTGGAGGCTCTTTCCTCACAAACTGTCTAACTAGGTTGTTTATTATACTGCCTACTTCTTGTTGATGGTCATTGGATTTAAATTGGGACAATTTGATATGACAGCTCATCATTTTAGTACTCACTACTCCTAGTACTATAACCAATAATATATTTTTTTTACTAAAAGGCTGTAGTTTTGCTGAATAATATAGGTACTTTATGCTTACTATAATGTTAATTATTTTACTCAGTTGAGTTGAGTGAAAATATTACTTTAGAAGTTGGAAGGTCCCTATTTGAAAAATAAATTAGGTTATGAGAGAAAAGAATTTATTTACAAAAATAAATACCTCTGCCTTAAAAAATAAGGTTGCCAATGACACAGAAAAATAGTACACATAAAATATCGAAGGATTATACAGCTATAAGACTGACTGATTAATTTTGATGTTTGCCATATAGATGATTTCTCATTATGGTCAATGAACCTCTTAATGTTTCATGAATAATAATTTAAAAAAAAGGATCTGTCCAAATCATATTGTTTACAAAAGTTCACAAAAAATTTTTATAATGTTCCTCTAGAACCAATAAACAATCCAATCACCTCAATTTTCAAAATTTTAAAATTTTGCTTGAAATATTCAAAGGTAGAATCATAATTTTTTTTTTCTTTTCTTCTTTTACTTCGTTAGCTTGATTTATGTTTATTTCAAATCGAATTGTAGGATCGAGAATTATGCCTTTGTTAAGAATAAAATTGTCAACCAATAGTGGAATGAATAGTATTATGGATTATTCCATTCCGTATTATGGATCAATTCTGTATCAGGCCATTTTAGAGTGGTTTAAAGATGTTGTCTTGTTTATTAGTTTATTGTCTTTTATTTTGTTTATAAACCTCCTGAAGGTGCCATAGTGGATTATTTATCAACTGTGTTGTCAGATTAAGTTCACTACTAGACATTTTACCCTTGCTGTGAAATGGCATACTACAATTTTCCCTTACTTCCAAGTGTTGTTCTTTTTTTAGCTTTTATTTCAATGGCATTCCCCATTTTGCTCTTAAGCCGGGTTTTACTAGGTGCGGAAGCTGAATGCGAAGTGTGGATAAGTGATTTCAATGGCAGTGCTCGGCTTCTGGGAAAATAGTACCATTAAATTACCTTAGAGTAGAATAAAGTGGGCTCCTCACTCCACGCTCAGCTTCTGCACAAGGAAAACCCAGCTTTATTGGAGTGGCATCTTCCATATCATCCCCACTCTCTGTCTAACCTCTAAGGACATAATCATTAATAGTAGGCTATTGATGTCAAAATAAAAAAGATTTCTAAGATAATATGTTTGAACTAAGGGAGATATGACCTTTTCCCAGACCTTACAATATCAGTTCAAATCACACCCTACTTTTCAGTATGACATCAAGTAAAGCGGTAACATTGACAGAGTTGATTATAGAGTTATTTCCTTCTAAGAATATAAATAAGATTTTGCTTTCTAGTAATCGGGTTAATGATTTGTAATGGGAAATAGGCCCGGTATCTCTTAATCGCGGATGTTGTGGTTAAAATTCTCATTTCCCTTGGTGATGAGTGTCATAGAACAAGGAGCTCATTGTGATGCCATGAGATAACACTGACGTCACATCAAGCTAATAGGCAATGGCGGCTTGATAGTGTTTAAATACAGCTTCATCAATATTGAAGTTTATTCTTTGACGCAACTTGGATGTGTTGCTGGCCTAGTGGTTAGTGTCTTGGATTTTGATATGTGTATGAGTTCGATCCCCGGAGTATCCACAAAGTTTTTTGTGGATTTTGACTGATTTCCCTTCCAAATATTTTTTATACCAAACAAAAATACCAATGGCATAGGCGCTAACAAATTTAAAACATATGCTAAAAGATTGGAAACATATATATTGCAGATAACTCCTCGATAAGAATTTATATTATATATCGACCAAATCGTGTAGGGGGTATACACTTGTACACACAATTAACAACATTCCTGGATAGAAAATATATACGGTATAAAGATTTTACAATTGCATTTAATTTTTTAATTTAAACTACTCATACTATAGTTCGGCCGCTTAGAAAACGACCTCCTCTAGCATTGGTTTAGCATTAGCGCGCAGGTCGCTTTCTAAGCGGCCGAACTATAGTCATCTTCTGGCCTAATTGAAGACTGAGACAAAGAAAATATTTGTAACAAACCTTATAAAAATGGCTAAATTTTACATTTTAAAACCCGTTTGATCCTCAAGATATGGGAATAATGCAATGTAATGAATGCTTGTGGATAACTGCACAAAAAACTACTGTAATGACAAAGGCAAAATAAATAATATAATAACGGAATAAGGCCACTATGATTTCACCGGAACTTATCAGAGTTTGTTTCTGAACTTTTTTCGAGACTATTTAAGCAATGAAACCGTTTTTTAATTCTGAAAATCTCAGAAATATAAGTCCAAATATTCCCTTTTGTAAACACATAGTAACTGCAGCATAAGGAAATGAATTCACTTTCTAAACAATGAAGAACTGCTGGACATTAAGATAAGATGAATGAGGACTTGATATTAGAGAAGCCATTAAGAAAGTTCAATGATCAAAGATTCTAGATGAAAATATTTTCCTGATTAACAAATGAACATAAATAGTTGCGTTTGACGTAGAAATACCCTCACAACTAGGAGTAATAATCAATGATATACCGGTAACATTGTAATATAAATTAGATTAAACTAGCACAACAACATTATATGTCTCCCGTAACCTGTGTTATAATGATTTAGAAGTCACAGCCCACATCAGTCTAAATACCCATCTAACAAGTTTCAGAATTTGTCAAATACTAGTAGAGCCCCGTCGAAATCGACGGTTAATCTTGAGGTTTTATGTAAATTCAGCTAACTGCGATAGATAGAGTGAAGTCATTAAAATCTTAGTTAAATGAAGGGAGGATAAACATAATAAGTATGACGATTGTGTTCCCTAAAAAACGTGATTGATGAATTCGTTTAACACAATATTTCCTACCTTTTTTATCGGCTTTAGGTTGCCCAAAAGGTTTTTTAGGAGTCTTATAATTGTTTGTTCATGAGTTTGTTTCATACCAAAGCCACTTTCACTATATGGGAGAATGAGTTCATATAATTAATCTATCATGTTACGGAAAGAGTCAATATTTATTACTAACAACTAATTCAATCTGCTTTAGGAAAATAATTCAGATTGTATCCGGATTTATAAGTAAATCTTCATCTTTGGTCATAAAAAATACAGAATTTTATCAGCATATTAAATCAGTTTTTTTTTTGTATTTGATAAAAATATCTGATTTTCTAGAAAGCAGTAAGATTCTTACTTCGATCTAAGCAATTTTAATTCCTTCTCTTGCCACATTGACCCATGTATTTAATCATCCTGTTCTTACTTGATAATTCATTAACTTATGGGATAGTTTCGCCTTGGCCAGATCTATAGCATAAAGCTGTGCACGTATTTCGTGGATGGAATGAACCATAATTGTAGGAAATTTGATCACAAATCTTGAACATTTGCGGAACCAAATCCATAACCTAGTCCAGCCTTGGTAACAAATTATGCAAATGCGATTAGATGTGATGACACTGTTGTGTTTCCGAATGTTTTGTATGTAGTGAGGTTTAGATGCGTTGTTACATGTGTACAGCAAAGTAAAAACCCTGTACACATTCTTTTAAATACCTGAATTGACATTAGTTCACATACTTTACAAAAACCATAGATGAAACATACTCCGTAGTTAGTCTATTCCAAAACTTGAACACAGCTCTCATCCTCAACGTACTCATCTATGACACAATTTTTTACCCGATTGTCGAAAACTTTTATACCAATAAATGAATTTCTAGTGTTCTTTCTTGAATTCAAAAATGAATGGTAATTGAAAGTAGGCAGAAAAAGGCACGTGCCAACCTTACAATATATATTAGCTAACCCGATAAGGAATAATTATGTTCCTTTAAAATTGATATGTCACACTTATTTCATAATTTAAAATGTTCTAAGAGCAATAAAGCATATATCTTTGATAACAACATTTAAAACGTCTCATAAATTCATCATTTTGTTGAAACTATAAAAAACTTGCCATGCAGTGGAGAATCAATTTAAAATCATAAATAATAATGTAAACATTTAATTTGACAGTTTCAGTAGACCTTTGAATACAATTTTAATATTAACAGCTGGTTCATTAAAAGTAGTGTACATAGCATTATCCATATGGTCGTAATGTAAACAAAATTGCTGAGTGAACTTTAAAGGCCTCTGGGGCAGAGTCCCAAGGAAATTTACCTCGTTTCTCTTTTGAGGGCTCACCTACAGACCAATACCATTCTTTAGACACCCCTACCAAGTTTCTACACCCAGCCGTTCTCTCAAATTAGCTGTGACAAAACCCCGTTTTTCTCCATAAGAATAACATGGGATGGAACTTTAAAGGCCACTGGGGCAGAGCCCATAGGGAATTTACCACGTTTCTCTTTTGATGGCTCATCTACAGACCAAGACCTTTCTTTAGACACCCCTACCGAGTTTCTACCCCCAGCCGTTCTCTCAAAATAGCTATGACAAAGAAAAACAGTTTCAAATTAATATATAGATATTTTATTGCCTACGAGGGTAATGAGGATATTTAACGCCATTTCACAACAGTGAACAAGATGTTTTGAGTAATGTCAATAGCACGGCTATCTTCCATAACACCTGAACCGCATTATGAACGTAATTGAGTATAAACACATACATCTGTTTCAACACTTTTAAATTTTTGTTGTTGTATTCATATTCGCTTCTTGGGAAACTTATCAATGTGTATTGTGCTGCAGACGACAGACCACCAGCTGCTCCTCCATCGAGCATTACAGATAACTCAGCGTCTAGAGCAACTCCTCCTCCCCCCGCTGCATCACAACCCCCCACCACTGCGGAGACCAACAAGTCTGTCATCTTGTCAGCGGAACTCTACAGTCCTGAAAATGGTTAGTGAAATTCTATGATCTTTGTACCATTTAGTACACTACCAACAAGGAATTAGCGATACGCCCCACATATCTCATCAGTTTTGCTCATGTTGGTCTAGAACAGTGTTAATATATATCAGTGTCTAGAACCCGACCTGTGATAAGCGTACCACTAGTGGTAACACTATAGATGATGTTCTAAATATGAATATTTTGTCAGGATTTTGTGTATCAATATAAGATCGGCAGCTGTGTTTAGTTAACAAGTTGCTTGATAGAACAAGGACTAGGTCATTTTAATAGTGACTTGTTGAAATAGACCTGACTTATTGTGTCCAGTCCTTAGTTTTTCGCTTAGGTAGCCTATTCGTCCATTGGGAAATTGTTTAAGATTTTCAGAAAAGCTCTGCCTTGATTTAGAGTTAATTGAGACTGCTCTGAATTGAGACATCTCAAGTTGACTTGTAATCTTCAATCTCAGCCTTCTCATCGATGTTATGTATTGTATTTTTTATTTTTTTTTTACCAAACAGTATGAGTTTTAGCGAATTTCCTACATAGGGAATAAGCTATTACCGTAGGTCTCATGGACTTGGACCCGGGTCCGATTTACTTTTTCGTTTTGATGTCCCCATTGACAAAAACCACCATCCTTTCAGATTCATATATATATGTGTCCGTTAGCACGATAAATCAAGCAAAAATGATTATAGAAATAAATTTATGCCCTACTGTAACTGATTCATTATCTTTAAAGAACCTTTAACTTTAAAAAAACCTTTAAAGAATATTTTGCAGTCATACTCAGCATGGATCGAGAACTACTGTAGTTAAATAATGATATTAATAAATACTGTAACTAAAAATTATATTTGACTTTTTAAGTCTTGTTTGTTCCAGTGCCTCCCAGTTTAAAGGTGTCGGATGAACTTCCCATCACCAAGTTTACAGATGATATGATAAATAGTACGATGAAACAGAACAATCTGACTTCCAAACAAGAGGTAAGAGACAACAATTAAGTGTTGGAGACTAAAGCTGTTAGCTGATTATAGTTTCCTAACAAAAACTATTTAAAACAATATAAATCTTGTAGACAACAACGCAACACCATTCCTTTCATAGTATGTATTTTATTGTCAGCAGAAAGGGTTGGATAACTGACGATAAGGTAATGAAAACATCATTGCAGTTTGTTAGATTTGGTCTAACCCACAGAAAATTTGTCACTCCAAATCACTTCAAATACAATGCAGGAAATGTAATGATAATATGACAAACTTTCTCTTTTCTTTGACAAAGAAATTAATTATAAGGTGTTTTTATAATTACTTATCTTACTTCAATTTAATGTTTGATTATCAATCGTTGTTGCATGCAAGTTTCACTTATGACACGGCTCCCTGACCTAGGATCCCTAGGAAGCAATTTGGTCCAATCAAGTGCAAGGCCACCTCTATTCAGGCTTACAAAACTGTAACACTAATGTTTTAATCATTAAATCTTGTCTAAAAGATTTTCAGGATAAGATGAAATGTTTCTGAGTTTACACAGATTGCATGTTTTATGCTGTGTACACTTGAGGGCTTATTTGCATAAATAAATGTAATTTGGTAGTTAAATCTCTTAACCTGTTGAATCCCGGCTTTTGTTAGTACTGGCCTTAGCCCCAACCCGGGTTTATTTAGTAAATTCGCAGACATTTTTTAAAAAATGTATAAAAATCTAAGAATTGAGCAATTACAACATTGTTTATACTTTTTTTGTTCAGAATAAACAGTAGAATCTGAAAATAATATAAAAAATATGGTAAAACATTTATTTATTTTTTTTATAAATGCAATATATATATATTTATAAAAAAAATTAAATTTTAAAAGTAAGCTCACAGTAAAAATAAGCAAAACACTTTTTGGACTAATAGTTATACCAATTATGTAGAGAATTTAATTCCCTACACAGAAAAATATAAAATACATGGTGAATGTTATATAGGTAATTTTTTATAAACTGCAATATAAAACGCTGTAAACAACACAAAACTGATTTTCTGCGGCCTTTTGAGAAAATTTGCAAATAAGTTCATGTTATAAATAAACCAACAATAAACAAACTATTGTATAGCTAAATATTACTCATTACCAAGTATAATTGCAGATTATAAATCCCAATGAAAATAACATTAGTGTATGACTATCCTACCTGTCAGAACTGCTGAAGCGTGTGGAACTCTTGCATGCATGGATGGATACACAGAGGGGTGTTACGTGGAACGTACATGTAGTACATATCCTGCTGTTTTTGGGGCCTCCTCTTGGTGTGCATACATACGTGGCATTTTCTTCTTGGGCGAGGATTTCCAGCAATTGCAGGGATGGGTAAATAAGATATGTTTCTTGTTTCAGGACTACCACGTTTACTACAACAGCACGTTCATAGTGGACTCCCAGATCGGCTCCTCTTACTGGGTGGACTTTGACAAACTGGAGAATGCAAAAGTCAATGAAATGTTATCCAAGTCTCATCGCAGGGCTGCTGTAAGTTGTGACTTATTAAGATTTCCATAGCTTACATTTTTCTGGAAACCTAACTAAAGATTTAAATTGTCCGCAAATAAAAACTTACTACCGCAAAAGTTTCAGAGGTACAGTACCATTGATAAATTGATTAAATTAGAGTTCTCTGTTGTCTGTTAGTTTTGATATATATCTGTTTGCAAAGAAACTATTAGCTGCAACCACTGCTAAGACCTAACCACAGAAGGAAGACCTAATCCAGAACTCTCATTGAGCCTTCAAAAACGCAGTGTTTCAATCTGTTAATGTCTACTCCAGGATCTAGGCGTGCTACTGTTGCTTTGATTTTTTGTAAAAGCATACATTTGAATATTTGATAAGCTGGTAGCATCGGTGTAGAGATGTCAGTTCTGTCTCCAATCCCCAAGCTTAGCCCACCTGACAGCGACAACAGCTCTCCTACACTCTGAATTGAAGTCTTGGCATAGAGCCTTTCCTTGATTAAAACTAACTCGCCTGGATTCTGGTGTAGAGAATGGCAGGATCAAATGCAGATTCTATATGGCTCAGTGATTTCTGGGCCTTTCCTTTGTGCTTTTGCTTTTACTTGGAAGAGTTATTCCAATACCACTATCTTCCGTATACACTTAACATATGTTATGTAAAAGTTTAACAGCTCAGATAAGCATTTCCCTAAATCTTAAATGTCCTAAACCTTTTTTCTCATTAAAATTAATTTAATTTTCCATCTTATTCCGTCCTATAGTTCCAATTTTGAGTATCTAATGAAAAAATACAAAAATCCCTTGAATACTAACAAATAAAGGGGATATGGCTTTTAAACCTGATCTTGCAGTATTAGTTCAAATTGCCAAGCACTTTTGTTTTGAGCATGATATTGGGTGAAGAACCATAGCTCTATTAGATTGTAGGTTATTTAGTTATTTCACCATACCAATGTGAAAGTGTTTCTTTGCCACAGACTGTGAAGCTGTCGTTTGACTTCCCGTTCTACGGACATTTGGTGCGCAACGTGACCATCGCCACAGGAGGGTTCCTCTACACAGGAGAGTACGTACATTCATGGTTGGCCGCAACACAGTACATCGCTCCTCTCATGGCCAACTTTGACACTAGCATCAGTAACGACTCGTACATCAAGTATTTTGACAACGGTTGGTGTTTAGTTTCATCAAGTGTTTGTTCTAGTATCAAATTTATAATATTATAAATAGAACATTATGATCTAGGTACTTAAAAGTTTAGATATGGCCCATGGTCATGGGCAGGAATAGACTCGCATGATTCGTCATTAAGGAAGCAATAGCGGATAGTTTTGTTTCCTGAAGAAGGGTGTCTGATAATGGCATAAAAGCCGAAATATAGAAAACTGCTTAGTCAATAACTTGAGATTGCAGACAACTAAGGTGTTTACATTAGTTAATAGTAATTTGGAAGTGTCTAATAAAATTAAATCAAAATGCTACAAGCGGCTATGAACATGGATTTAAATTTGGTTTTTAGTTTCATAAGGAAAATATTAATATGTTTCCCACCTGAATTGAGATGGATTAGCAAATGTTAACAAGTTTTCTGTTTTATCCTGTGAGTTTTGAGAAACAGTCCTGAATGTGATAGGTCCTATTTCTTAAAATTATATCAGTTGATAAAATCATTTTTACTTGTTCTTTGACATCAAAATCTTAAATTTGGTTTAAGAATATTTTAAGTCAAACATTTTACTTATATCTACTAAACACTATTCATCTGTTTCAGGCACTGCATTCACTGTGCAGTGGGAAAAAGTAGTGCTTCAGGACAAACCGAACACGGGAGAATTCACGTTCCAAGCGACACTTCACAACACTGGAGACATTGTGTTTGTCTACCAAAATGTCCCCGTTATCATTGAAAATATTCAAGATGACCAACATCCAGTCAAAGTGGGTCTGTCCGATGCATATATCATCGACAGGACTATCTTCTGTGAGTGTATTAGCAATGTATGAATGTCTATGTATTATATGTCCATTTAGCCCCAAACTTTGGCTAAGAAGAAATATATTATTTTGAAGCTTATAACAGTTTACAAGTTAAATTAAAAGTTTGGTTGGGTTTAGTTTTTGGGAGGAAGTAGAACTTGGCTTAGGAATACTTTAAGCAAGAAGGAATACAAAAACTTACCCTGTAAAAAGATGTCCAGACAGTTGATGGAACACAAACATTTCACAACACAATTAATTTGATAGCTTCTTAATTCTAATTTCTTAATCATAATTTGATTTGATAGCTTCCTGGGAAGGAAATAATTGGCATAAAATGTGTTGTGAACTTTTTGTGTTATCTAGGAATGGAGGAGATTGGTTTTTTAGTTTGAGACAAGACGGGATGGATTTTTTATTTCTCATAAAATTTTGAGACGAGATTGAGACGGGTTTTACCTTCTCGTACATAACGGGAAATGCACGTTCGGCATTTTTACCTGATTTTGTGATGAAAATAAATACCTACTGATTTATGACGGATGACGGTTTAAATACAAAAATAATAATAATAGTCAAGAATATTTAAAAGTTTTTATTAAAAAACATAAGTATAAACAAATTTATATTCATTACACCTACCATATTAAAAACAACCCTTGCGCTTAGGAAACATGGTGATATCATTTAGGTTGTAGTGTTAGGTGATAAGAGTTAAACTTAGAAAAATACCTGGTAAGTATATAGCAACAATTATTCAGTCTTGTGTTATTTAATAACAGGAACAGTATTATTGAAATTCAGCTCGTAAAAAAATCATCACAAAATAAAAGCAATATTAATTAGCTATGTTTACAGTAGTAAAACATGTCTCACACTGCTTACACTTAACAAAACTTCTTATCATTTGTGATGTCAAAAAAATTATAAAACAATTAAAGCAATATTTACATGTAAAGAATTAATTAAATAAGAACACCTTCGCAAAGGAAACACAAATACAACGCCCTCCGCAATTGCGGGTATTGCATTGACTTTCTGCAGGTGTTGTTAAAATTTTGTTTATCTCAAGTTGAAAAAATCTCAATTAAAAATAAAATTTCGTCTCTTAGAACGAGATTTAAAACTTCCCGGAAATTTACCAAAATTTCAAGACTTGTCCATCCCTAGTGTTATCAACCTCCTGGAACTCTTATTTTAGGTAAGTTAGTTCTTTTGTGTCCATTCCTTTATTTCTTACGTAGCCTATCAATTTGAATTTGATTTAGTCAATTTTACCTATAGGCCTATGTTCTTCTGTTCATGTACCTTTCCTACGGTTCTTTTGGCTGTCCCCTAAAAACTGCTTTTATTCAGAAGTTTCTTTTGTTATATTCTTCAAAGTCTTTATGATTACTATACCGCTTAGTGTATTCCAAATCATAGTGAAACATTCTTTTCAACGTAATAATATTTAAGGTTTAAACTTTTGTTTTCTGTGTAGTTGTCAGAAGAAAGACTATCTATGAATATCATCGCGTCAACTTCAAGAAGGAAGACATCAAGAACTGGACAGTGATCTACTTGAACGCTCTACCTACCTGTATGGAGAAAAAAGACTGCCACTCCTGTGTCAGCTCTCAAATAGGTTTTGATGTAAGTTAATTGTTGGTTAAATACTTAGACATAATAATTCTTCAACAGTTTTACTTCAAATTTCTGCTTGCAAGACAAAGAGGCATAAGGACATATCATATTATATTTACTTACTTCTTACAAGCATTGAAATATAATATTTTTGTTACATTATTGTGTCTCTCAGCTAATTAATTTGGATAAATTACCATCAAGCTAAGTGTGTATTCCATCACAGACAAATGCAATAAAAAAAGATGAAAAAATCACTTTTGTGTCAAACATAGTTTTTTTTCCTAGCTAGGCACGAGCTTGGAATTGTTTTTCACATTACTTCAGGCTAGACCTAGGGGTTGCGGCATTATCACGTAGATAAAATCCATTGGTGATTTGGCAGGATTTGAACCCGGGACCTCTGGAACCAAAGTCGCTCGCTCTAACCACTAAAACCACTAGACCAGCTCGCTCCCCCGTGTCAAACATAGGAGCGGTGTATAATTTTCAATCTTGCCTGCAAAAATTGGACATCTGTGCTCTGGTAAACTTGTTGACTTGTCATGTACCAATAAGAAAGCATCTAGAGCTGAGCCAAATAGACCAATTCAGACTTTGCAACAGAGGTTAAATCTTCTAAACACTTGTGGCTGGACTGTCCAGTTCTCACCCTGATAAGGACGGTATACTTAGGAAAGGTGGCTGCAGGTTAAAAGAAATAACAGTAGTGGATTTCCTTAGAGTCTAAGGCAGATGCACTGAAGTTAAGTGCTACAACAGGCAAGGTCGAAGAAGTCAGGGGTAGGCATACCCCAAACTACGTGGAATCTTTTCAATCTAGGTTTTTTGGCATTGCTTGATGAAAATTGAGTACGTAAATTTTAAAATATTGAGTTTTCCTTTCCTATGTGAACATGAGAATGTTTGTTGCAGTGCAAGTGGTGTGGCAGTGTTGGCCGCTGCTCCACTGGTATGGACCGCAAGAGACAAGACTGGCTAAGCAATGAGTGCGACAGACTGGAACTGTCGACAACGACGCAGTGCGACCAACTGCTCAGAGAGACTGAACATCATCCTAGCGCCAGTGCCGCAGCATCTCCTGATACTGGTAAGTAGTTTACATTATCACTTTTTTTTATTATTTGTGTTTCCACGCCAATGGTTTTTTTTTTAAATAGAAACCGTCCAAACCCTGGTCTTGTGACTGTCTAATGTGGACCATTTGTTAGATAGTATTATTAGTTTGTAGCCCATTGACAAATGGCATCTAGGTCCAGAATTACGCTGGATTCAAACCAGCCACCTTCATATTTGAAGGCGAGCACTATTTCTTTTTGGCTACCCAAACGTTATGTTCTTTCCAAACAATTTGTTGACTGGAATGATTATTATCATACTTACTGTTCACTTACTGTTATTTACTGTTATTAGTTATTATTACTGTTCATACAAATGTAGTAGCATTAGAGAAGGCCTACATCTTGTCCGCACAGGACCGGCCTAGGTCAACTATGTAAACGTGTAAAATACTGTTGCAATAAAGTGGAATTGATATGTGTCTGTGTGAATAAAAAACTAGTAGAAAGATTATCTGTGTCTTATATAATACAATAGCGCACATTTTTAATTTTGTGAAAATATGAAATCTTTGTTGGTAAAATTGAATTTCACCCACAGTGATTTGTGACTTGTTATTCCTTTATTTATATACCACAGATTTTGGATTAAAATTACTTGCACAGTTAATTACGTACAAATTTGCTTTGATATTTACTTTAAAAAGGTGGGGTGGATTAAACATTCATGCCCTAACACAGGTGATTAGTCCATAGTCAGTTAAGTAAAAGTCGTAAGTATAATAATATTCTTTTATAAAGATTTAAATTTTTTTTACTACAATCAATTACTTTTCGAGCAGTGAGCATTAGGACTGACTTAAGAATAATGGTAAAAAATATTATGTCTTGTTGCCCATAGTAATGGTAATGGTCTACTAAAAGGTACTATTATTATTTAAAAAAATCTATGAATGAATATTAGCATACTTAGCTAAATAGTGTAGCAAAATATGTTGACTGTAGTTTTTTTTAACGACAACCAAAATAGACATATGAAGTGTTTTGTTTTGAAAAGTGTACCATAGACAAACAGAATAAATATAGTTCCACGATGTACCGCTCGGTGTTCGATTCGCTGCCGTCATCTGCTCCTGGCTGTATGCTACCAGCAAACGCTGCAGTAGTGTGCGCCGAAACTACACGGCAATCCTACCGGTGGACGCCAGAACTTATGCTAACCGCAGCATAGCTAACGGTCTATATTTATTCTATTTGTATATGGTTGTACTCCTAGGATGCTTTGTACTTATTTACAAGATTTTTTAGTTTGAACAAATTGTTTTAAAACTTATTCCTAGAAACTTGGTTGTGAAATTACATTACATTTTAAACAGATGCCCCTTCGGAATGGAGAAGAACGAACCCTGAACAGGGGGTTCATCAGGGTATGTAATTTTTGGATTTCGGGAGCCAATTTTTGGGGAATAATATATAACATGGTTGTTACTGGAATTATTTGAGAGCTTTTGGAACTTAGACAGTTAAATAGGAAAGCATAAAATCATATGAAACCCATGATGAGTTCTGCCCGCAGGTGGATTTTATTCTTTTTACTAATCTGCATGCCAGTGGGGATAATCAATATGTATACATCAGTAGTATATCAGTATCAGTGGCGTTGCTTGATAAAATTCCAGGGAGAAACATTGAGGGTAAGCCTCAATTTTCCCAACTGCTGAACATAGATTTCCCTTTAAAGAAATCAATTCCAGTACTATTTAAAAAATCTAAAAATTATCATACTACACTGCAGTCACACTCAACAAAACATAGCTAGTTTTACATACATACAAAATTACTCAATTAAAAAAACGTATAAAAGTTCTACCAATTCATAAAGAAATTTTGTGACTCCAAAAAACTTGAACAAGTATTGTTACAAATCCAATAAACTTTACAAACAAGCAGACGTAGCAGTGTTAAATTTTAGGGATATAAAATAGGCCTAGTACAAATTAGTATGGAAAGAATTATTTCATTACAAAATAATGAAATTAAAATACTTTTAGAAATTGATATTAAGATAATATTTTAACTTTCATAAAACTTACAACTAGGCCTAAACAAGTTTGTAATTATGAAATATTAATATCAGTGTTGTGAATAATATTATTAAATCGATCTTAGACGTCAAACTCAAAAATCTAATTTTAGGTTATGTTTTCCACGTAGATCTGTTTCAGAGTGATTGCTTGATTTATTTGTGTAAATTCTTAATTAGGAATTATTAGCAAGTACTCCTGTCAGTTAGCCTACCCCAAATACTACAAAAAAAAAGGTTTAAAATATAGTTGATGTGACTTGCAAGTAAACTATTTTTGAGTTTCTTGTAAACACTAACAATCATCATAATTCAACTGAAGCTAATTCCTTGCACTTTCAAACTCGCAGTCTCGCAGACGAATCCTGAGAATCATCAACACAGCACAGGATCAGGGTAGCCAACATACTAATAAGGAACAACATTTCTCACAAACTAAATTTTGACAAACTATACCGCTGATTGATTATTGATTTATTATTTGATAAGGTATGTTTAGCCTAAGATGTTTAATCAAAGTTAAATACAAATAGAAGAAACATCAAGTTTATTTGTTCAAGTCAAAAAAATTTCAATCTTTGATGAATTTTTGCAAATATTAAAATTTTATTTCGTTAAAAAAAAAAATGTTTTCCCTTTATCTCTGTCTTCCCAACTGTCCCAACTCGTGGCAAGGGAATTCCCAACTTTTCTCTTTCCCAGATTCTAGGGGGGGGGGGGAGGCTCGGTAATAGCTTATTCCCTATATGGGAAATTCGCAAAAAAAAAATTAAATAAGTCTTTGTTGTATTAGTTCCTATTGTAGGCCTAGGAATTAATATTCAATCATAGGCTAATACAGTATCATTCAGCTACAGTAGCATTAATACAGCGTATGTAAGGGGTGTGATTTATTTCTTGGAACTAAACTAAATCTCTCTTTAAGTAAAAGTAAAATTTTGGCATGACTGTTCTTTATAAAATACTTTATTATTGTATCTTTAATAATAATTCAACTGAATACAGCTGTCAAAATTATATAAACTATAAAAAAAGAGTGCATAAAAATTGTAAAATATAATCTACCCAAGAGTGGAACATTGAGTTGACGCCAGTGCACTCAAGCGGTACCAACACGAAATACTCATCAACACTTACTCTATTTTCCCCTTTATCGAGTAATCTTCAGTGTAATCTTTGCTCAATAGTTACAACTGATGTTTTTTCCCTTTGTACTGTATTTTGTAATTTGCTAGTATACTGTGGGTGGCCTGTTATAAACAAATGTTACAAATATTTTGTTTACTTTCCCTTGTCATTTTGTTCAACCAACATACAGTTACTTGGCCAATGTTTATTTTTAAATGAGTTGCGTAGCAAAATACGAATTTTCTTGAGGTATTGCCTGTTGCCCATCATGTTTTTAAGGCTATAACATGAGTCCCTAATTCCAAAATTTAGTCAAAATCCTTCTGCTGGATTTCAAGATATATGCTACAGACAGCCAGACAAACAGACAAAAAAAAACTAACCCATTTCTTCACCCTAACCCCTATTTATCTCTGAAATCATTAGGACCTAATCACCCACCAGTTGTTTCTCCTAGTGACCATGCTGATTACAACTGCAGTACAGACACATATCTTTTCACTTGTCAAACTGTTTCAGGAGAGATGAGTGATGGAGCTAGGTTAGGCAGCTCAAGCTATCTAGGAGCTGCGTTCCTCATCGTGCTGGTCGCGGGTGTCGCAGTCTGGGCGTTGTATGCTTACAGCAACCCACACTCGTACTCCGGCCAGATCCTCATCAGGGTGAGTACAAAATGGAAACTATTTATCAATGAAATGTGATTTTAATTGAAACTGTTTAGATTTTCTGTCCAATCTTTCTCCTTTGTGTGGTCAACAGAATGTAAAGTATGTTGATGTTTGCAGTACCGTCCAAGTCAGTGGAGCTGGCGGAGAGGAGAGGCGAGGTACACGGCCGCTACAATACACATGTGACGCTCGGGTGAGTCCATCACATCACAATATCATCGGAATGGTTCATTGATTTATTTTATGTTTAGGTCCCATTACGGTATTATGGTTAATTGTGTTAATTATTACTGAATAATCATTTCACTTCACCTTTTAAACTACCTCTAATTTTTCTCTATCATCTTATAAAAAGTCTTAATAATTTAAACAAGTTTTGGTGAATACACTCAGGATAAGCAAAATGCCTTTCTTGAGGGGCAACTCACTGAAAATCCACCCATCTCCTCAACTGCCATTCACATTGGACCACTAACAGGTGAAACCCTCCTGGGCACACCTCAGAAACAGACCAAGAACCACAGAAACTATTTGAACCATATACCAAGAGAGCTATTGATCAGACCTACAGTTTTCAACACTGATCAACCAAAAGCACTAGAATATTCCCAGATTGCAGTATAAGCACAATTGTTGATATTTGGGCGGGATTTTTTCGGGACGTCAACAAATTTCTCCAGACATCTTCACATTCCTTTTGACTCGGTTAAAAATGGTTTGACACATCAAACAAACAAATTTTATACATTTAGGCCAATGCCACATGATTGAAAGTAACCATGCCGGATTGGCAGGCTTTATAGCTGTGTAAAATTATTTCCCATTTTGAATCAGTTGTATTTCGTACCCTTTCCTCCAACTTTTCTAGAATGTTAACTATTCTGAATGAGTGAACTTAGTTGTTAAAACTTACTGTAAACATTGTTGAATCTTGAATCTTTTTGTTTTTTGTTTCAGAACACGAAACTACAGACGTAGATTAAAATTTGACTAAGCATCAAACGTATCATGTGACATAACCGTCAGAAATTTCATTCACAAATGTAAAACATACGTTATTAAATTAGGTTTACGATTTTCGCTATGCATTTTTGGTACATACTCATTGAATGTTTGAATTTTTACTCTAGAGTCTAGTGAATCAATATGTTTGTTTGGTCTTTTGTTAAATACAGTGCACAAATGCTTCAGTATGAAACAACTACATCTGAACATTAATAACGCTTTTACGGGAGGGTCAGATTTAACTTGTTATTGATACAATTCTGTGATTTATCTTTTATTGTTATAGAGACTCTCTGAATTTGTTGAATGAGATCAATTTTGTTTCAATGTAAAATATTAAATGTGTAATTCGTATTTGATTTAAATAGTTGTAATTTTAATTTTATTTAGTTTTAATTAGAGATGTACTTTAGCTAGGTAGAATCTCATTATTTTGACAAAAGACACTGGCAAATGTGGTTGCCTTACCACTTTTTGTAAATAGTAATATATTGAAAATTGACCCTTGGATATTCCGTTGCAATTTTTATCCATGGTATGTCATGAAACAGAAATTAATTTTTGTTTACATGTTGTTCAAAGTTGGACTTATATTTAATTTTAGTATATATTACATTTTGGATTGTTGCTTTATAGCTCATGCCAAGTTTTACTTACCAAGTAGACCTATACATATTACCTAGGTTAAATAAAATATTGCAGCAAACACCTTTATCATTATGACAAGTACAATTTAAAGGGCTTCCTACTGTTTCAATGTGCTTACTGTACCATATCAATTTAAAAAACAATCTTTTGAGCAAATTAGCATATTAGCTCAAAATGAATTTTTCAAGTAGACACCACAGTTAGTACGTTATAGGTGTGTGCTTTAAATTTTAGCTAGAATTAGTTAACTTCGATTCAGCCAAATCCTGTTTAAATAACACAGATGGTATTATGAGCAAATGAAAAATATTGAAATCAAGGATGTATAGTTATATTTTTTGTACACCAGAAAATTACTTTTTTACCTACATTAACATTTGAAACATAATTGTATGCTCCTCTTTTGTGGACATCATACTTAAGAATCATAAATAAGTGCCTGTTTTTTAATCATGATAAAAATAAACCATTCTACACTACCATCGGGATTCAGACAACCTTGTCAAATTTAAACCTTTTAGTCTAATGCTATAATAACATTACATTAATCTATAGTGTGAGTCTAATTAATCATTTTGGAATATTGTAGTTTTATTTTTGGCAAAAGTGATGGAAGTTTTTTATCTACCACAAATCTAATGTAACACTTCATGTTACACATCTGGTTTATATTATCAGGTAGTTCTTGTATAAAGAGTATATAAATAATGACTACAAATATTTGGTGTTGTAAAATGAATATTTTTAGGTAAAAACTATGATAATTTAATTTTACACATTTTCTTGTGCTTCCATTTTCAATTTTTTTTTTATTTCTTGTTTTCAATTTGGTGGAATTGAACTATCAATACAAAACTTTATTTTCTGTTTGTTTATTGAAGCCAAAACCAAATCAAACACATTTTGTAAGTAGCTTATTTGTCAAATTTGCTATAAAATTATCATAGTGGTGTAATTTTTACAATTTCAACTTGTAATGTGTTCAATTGATGTATAAACAGCAATTAACTGCTGTATAGAAACAATAAATACAAAAGCTTAACTGCAACTATCTTTAACATAACTTTCTTGCGAAGCAGTCAGTGTATTTTAACATTAAAAACAATATTGTGTTCATGTTCACTATGCACTATGCCTTAACAAACTCAAATTAATGCATTTTTGCTTTTGCAATTTTTTAATGTTTTATTTTAGTATACAGTTGTTGTTTCTATGTTCGATTTGTGTTTTAATAATTTGTAGCTATTTTTTGTTATTTTACCATACAGTAGACTCCCTCTTATACGGACTCCTCGGGACCGAGGCCAGTCCGTATAGCTGTTTTTCCGGATAAACTGACGTCTCCAAAAACTTGTTAAAACGTTTAACAGTTTAAATGCATACTGTAGGCCTATACAGTATTTAACTTAAATTAAGACACTTGATCACTGGTCTCAAATCTTTCCCACGAGAACAGTCGTCTCAGTACCGCCCACTTCCTGCCGATCTACTCCAGTTAAACCGATGTGCTGATTAAAGTTGTCTGGTTAAAGATATGTCATTTCTGCCGAGTGTAGTACGGTTAAAAGGCGTCCGGATAAGAGGGAGTCTACTGTAATACTTGTTATTTTGTGTATTTCAAGTCGGTTGTGAATCTATTGACTTTTTCTGTTGAAAATCTTTTTTGACAGTGTGTCACATCTCACAAATTGTCAGTTTGGTTGTTTCTTTTACACATTTAATGTTGTAAGTGTTCCCTATATTATTGTCAACTTACACAACAAGTATATGGTTTGACTTGTTGGTTAACCTCTGTAAATTTCTTCAGTTAGCTTTTGTTGATTTGTCATAATAAACCGATTGACTACATTGCCTAAAAATTTCTATCAACGATGTTTGTTAATAATTTAAAATGTTTTCTTTCAATTTTAAAGAAATTAAACTTTGATGGCATTCACTATATTTTCCTGTAAGCTTAAAAAAATGTTTTTAATTTCAAGTTAGCCCTTGTTAACTAGTTAACAGCCCTTTAATAGTGAAATAATGTTTATTACACTATTGCTTTCTTATTTAAATTTAGAACCACTGTAATACCAATGAATACAAACCTTAAGAAACTAAATGCCCATGTTAAAAATTATGCCTGGGATTTATTAATTTTGGCAAGTTTCCGTGGCAACCGGAAAGGCGCTGCTATCGAGATCCCACGGCAATGTGAGTAAGACAGAGAATTGGCATAAAGAGAGAAGGGAGAGAGAGAGGCTAGCGCATATCTAGCTTCGACCGCACAAAGCTCATTTTGGTGGCAAAATCCAGTCTGACTATTCCCAATAAAGATTTTGCTTCATATAAGGTTTGTATTCATTGGTAATACTTAAAAAAGTTTTTATAACCTTTTGAACTGTGTTGATACAAATCTTTTACTATCCAATAAACATGCATAACCTATTATATTAGGTCTGTAATTGTGTATTTTTAACATATTTAGACTATTCTTGACAAAAATCTGCCACAAAAGCCTAGGGTTGTGCCTTTATTTTTTATATTGCAACGGAGACACCTATTTATCCTAGTAACAATTTTGTACTTGTAAATATATTTTTAGAAATATACTATTAAACATTGTACATTAAGCTATTTTCGTTTATTTAACTCCTAAACTGGTTAAGTTATATCAGATATCACAATTATTCTTAGTAGGCTACAATGAGTAGTTTACTTGGGGGGGGGTCTTATTTTTTGACAGAATAAAACACAGATTGTTTATTGAATTTTGATTTTCACTCTGAAACACTGTAGATACTGATTTGATCTTTATCACTGAATGCATCAAAGGACATTTCTGGTACATTGTCTGTCAAGTAATAACTTTCTGATCCAAGAACATGCAATTTATGAAGTTCCCCCTCAGTTTCGACTTCTTCATCCTTTATTTCCTCTGGGTAGTGATCAAAATATTGATTTATTTTAACCTCACCTATTTTTTTATATTGTTTTATGGCTTTTGAAAACCAACAGGATACATTAAAGTTATTTTTAATTTTTAAACATTTGTATATGGTCATTGCGACAGGAGACGGTATAGTTTTCTGGGATATCACATGTATATTATTCAGTATATTTTCATCAATATTCCCCATCTTAATGTTTGAGAGATGTGGATAAAACCAAATAATTTTGGGCATTTCTTCTAGCTTAAGTAAATCTTTTCTTTTTATTAAAGTCGGTTGATTGTTTTCTGTTACATAACTCATTAAATATTTTTCAGAATGGTTTTTAAAAACTGGAATTTGAGAATATAAAGTAAACAAGTCATCATTATTTTTCACTAGGGCAGTCTTTATCATTTGTGCACTCTTGTTATTTTCTAACCTTCGAATCATTTCATAACCTGACAAATCTCTTTTTACTACAAAATACCGTTCAAAATTTTCTGGGTGTAGAGGAGTACAATCAGATAAATCAAAAACACAATTTTTGCAATCCTCACTTTTCACAATGCTTGTGTAACCCTTTTCGCTAACTGAAAAGACATTGCAAAAACTATCTACAGTTTGACAAGATACAACTGGGATAGTGCTGGCATTATTGAAGTATAAAGTTGTAATTGATTGTTTGTTAGAATTTTCCAAAACTTGAGCTTCAAAAATCAAGTTGTTATCTGTCATTGTTATCTTCTCATTTTCATTTGATTCTATGGTAAACAATCCATTTTTTTCTATATGCACCAAGATATTCCCTGGCAATGCAATTCTTACTCTATATTCAGCATTATTAAATTCAACCCTAGCATAGTTTGTATGTTCAAATGTGTATGATGTTTCCACATAAACAAAACTGTCTTCGTTTAAATTGTCTTGGTTATATTGGCTTTTGCTGTCATTAGAAGGGTTTTGCTCTTCTAAAGAGTCTGCAAAGGACTCTGAACCATTTGATTGGGTTTGATTTCCTATTTTATCAACTCTGTTATATTCCTTTTCAAAATTTCCCACTGTCGCAAAGTTGCTGTTTTCACAGATTTCCTTGTCATCATATGCCAATGATGTTATTTTAGAGCCATCAGGAAATAAAACTGAGAGTTGATAAGGTTTGAATAAGCTAGACAATCCATCGGTACGCTGTAAATATAGTTCTTGGTTAATCGGTTCAAAAGCCATTCTTACATCATGTAGTTTAGAACTTTTTTTATTCAAATGTTGGTTAAATTCTTCACAAGAACCATCCCAAGAAACTACAGAATGCTGAGTCACTTTACACTCGTATATTTCTTGCATGCTGTCCTCGTTTGCTTTATTTAAACTGTCTTCATTCATGTTAAATCCTGGTATTTTCTTTCCCTCTTTTTTAACTTTGGTTTTTCCTTTTCCAATTTTCTTTGTGCTCTTGTCAGTCATCGTGTTCTTCGAATTGTTTTTGGCTTGACCCTTAAGGCTATTTCCTTTCAACAAATTTTCATCTGGTGAGACTTTTTCTAAAACAATCTTTTCCCATTCAAATGAGAGACAATTGACTGTTGTTCCATTGCTGTAGAGAATACACACTGTACCATCTGAGTAAAATGTAAGGATTGTCCCGTTGTTCAAGTAGCAGCGATGGGTCTCGTCCCAAATTCGACTACATGTTAGACCTTTACTCAAGTACCTCTGACGTACGTAGAATGGTCCAAATTCGGATTTTGTCTGAACAACCTCGACCAGTAGTCCTGAAGGTAAAGTAAAACTTAAATCGCAATTTAATGAAAAACAATTGGTTTGTTTTGACTGAGGAGATGTGATAGAATTCAAATGTCTTTCCTCTTGGGTGTCCAGACACCATGTCAGGCTAATGAAACCCCTTATTTCATTGTGGAACTTAATTAACACGTCTACAAATGGAGTAAACAATTGAGGAACAAAACTATAAGACAAACTAGTGTTATTTTTGTTTATCGATACTGCAACATTCATCTTGTCAAAAAAACTGTTGGTTCTCTTTACCATCACCTTTGTACTATCAGGAGAACAGAAATGTTCAATGTGCTCATTATGCTCTATCCTGAATGGCCCTAAATTGGCTACTGATAATATCGGGAAATTGTCTTTAGGACTTTCTCTACTTGACGTATGCTCAGAGTTAACACTTAAATCACCAGATTTCGACATGTTTGTATTCAGCTCACTCGGGACGCTGTCTTCATTTGGCAAATCATCAAAATTTAACCTCCCTCCAATTTTATACTTGTAAAACTCCCGAAAACCCAATGGAGTTTCAAGTACACCTTTTACTTTTCTAGAACATGTAAGGTCTTTGTCCTCAGAATTATTAAACCATAACAAAAGCGTGTCAGTTAATGGAAAGTAAAAATAATTGGCATCAATAAAGTTTTCATAAGCATTTTGTAAGCTTTGACACATAGTATTTACTTTTAGATATTCTACGAACTCGTAGGTCTTAGTAAAATCTGTGTCATTATCTAAATATTTTTTTAAATCTTCGTACAGATCAGTGAATTCGGAACAAAAGAGGAAAGATTTCAACTTGTTGAGTTTCTTGATTCTGTAGTTAACTATCTTGTCGTGTGAGGATATACCTTTGAGAAATTCTGGAGTTTTTCTCTTATAACATTCGGGTGATATAGAGGACATGGAATCAGTGTAACAAGACACATTTTCCAATGATTCTATAGACTTGGAATAACTATCAGCTGATTGAGAGAAGTTGGTGGAGTATCGTTGTGAAACTTGACATAAAACGTTGCTTAGCATTCCATGAACAAATTGATTCACATTCATATCTTCATCTCGTTTATTTGAATGAAAATCACTTTCTTCGTAATTGAATAAGCCTACATCAGCACCTTTCTTAATGGAGAGCTTGTCCTTCTTTGAAGTAAAAATATTAAATATTGACTGATGCAAGTAAAATGTAAAGATGCTATCCACATCAAAGTAACAGTTTGCTGCACATTTTTTAAACCTTTGCAAATGGAAATCGTGCCATTTTAAACTAGATGGGGATGCTATTGGATATTTCAGCCACAAATTGTAAACAGGAGACTTTAACAACATATCCATAGTGATGGTTTGGAAGTCAATTTCTGGTAGGTGACAGTGAAATGTGATATTTGTTATTTCATCTCTATGGTCAATCAAAGTCGGAGTTATATTTTTAACAGTAGTTTCAATATTAAAAGAGTTTTCTGAAATAATTGTGTTTGTACTCGGGTGTGATGATTTTTTTTCTGTATCACTACTACTTGAAATCACGTCACTAATGTTTGCAACTTCTATATTTTCACAAGTGTTTGCTGTGTGGAGAATATGTTCATCCCACCAACATACCTGTTCCAGCATGCAGTGAACGATGACAGGTATTGTTATGCATTCAAGAGGAACCATAGAAACCATCGTAGAGTATAAGGGAACATCATCCAAAGTAAGAGTTCCCTGAATTTCTGGAATTTCTTGTATTTTCAAGCATTTTTTGTAATGATTATACTGTCCCTTAGCTTTGTTGATTTCATTCAACAAATAAAAGAAGCTTGATGGAAAGGACTTTTTCCCATCTCCTGTATATGTGTCATATTCCAGAAATAGTAGGTCTTTATATCTTTCTAAAAATGTTTTATCTTTGATATTTTCCTTAAATCTTTCTATGAATACTGAGTATTCTTCGGAGCTTTGAAGATTTAGTGGTTTTTGTTTTTTCTTAGGTTTCTTTTCCATCTCTGGTATTGTTTCATTTGTTCCGGGCAATGGTTTTTCTTTTATGTCAATTATTGCACTGATTGGAATATTAAAATCTGAAAATGTTTCGATCAAATTTGAATCATAAAATCCCCATAGAATGACATATCTTTGAAATAAAGTTTTTTCTCCACTTCTAAAATCCCTGCCTTCCCGATTTTTTGTTTCATTGGTCATTTCCATCTCTATATAATTTCTTTTATTTTCATTTTCAAGATCACTATTTCTTAACTTCAAAATGTACTTCTTACATAAAATATATCTTAGATCAGGATTTCCACAATCTGCTTCATCGTTATTTTCCTTTTGATTGACACCGTTTTTAACTTTGGTATCCCCTGTTCTTTTTGATTTTCTACTGCTTGCACTAGTTGATCTGTTGCGTTTTTGGGAGTTTTTCGTACTTCCTATATTAGGAGTTTCTTTTTCGTTTGTGCTCAAATCGTTTGGTGTAATGACAGTTAGGTTGGCTGGTAAGTTATTTAATTGCATTAGCAATTTATCATTTAACTCCTTATTTTCCACTAACACACTCAACATCAAAGGCTGCCATAAGTCGTCATCAATTAGAATAGATTTAAATTCATCAATTTTAAAAGTATTTATATTTTTCCCCCTCTGGCTGCTAGATGGAGGAGAATGGTGTTTTTTTGTTGAACTTGGTTTTCTTGACTTAGTATTTTTCGAGCTTGACATGTAGATTGTTTTTGTTGAATTAAATCCAGTTGTATTGTTCTTTAAACACAAACTTTTTATTTTTTGGTTGGACAATACTCTGATTTCTTATCCGGAAATTTGAAAAGTCTCACTTAAATAAAACATGGTTCTTAATCGTCAGAGATCACAATTTAAAAGTCTTTAACAAAATGTAGGCTATTTTTTAATTCAAATAACCTGTCGAGTTTACAGCTTGAAATTCAATATTACTTATTTGTAGATATCAGATGACAAAATAAACAAATAAAAAAGTTGGATAAATTAAGCAAATTATAACCACCTAACAGAGGAAGGAGAGTAGGGAAAATATAATGCTATGAGTATAACAAACAATATAAACATTTGTTATGGAAAATAGTATTCCATTTTCTGAATACCATTTCACATTAAATTTCAAAACATCAAAAGTGTAACTGCATCGTCTACGCAATTTTTATTAAGCTATCTTTCATTTTGTACCAAACACAATTTTTCATCATCTACTAACTTTAAATCTTAGCACTTTAAATTATTCATAGCTAGACATTTTTTGTTCTTTCCTGAAATTCAACCCAAATTCCTCCAATTGGAGAAACTAATAACGATGCAGGGTGAAACTTAAGTGGGACTTTGGTCTTTGGGTCGAGGCTCACAGTGAATTCAGACACGCATCAACTTTGCAATCGCCACCTTCAATTCCAGAAGGACAAACCTCATAGCTGGCTCATGTCTATATTTACAAAAATATTTACACACACAGTCACTAGTATTGCGTTTGGGTCAATCAGACGACGGACACGCGGCAGAGTCATAACGTGAGGTCTTTCTTCCTCAGTAGTCAGTTTCATTTCATGGCATTCCTGCTGGCATTTGGGGTCGACAGTTAGTTTGGATTTTCCTGGTTTATGGTTGGGCAGGTGCTTTGCTCTCTGTAGTTTTGCCGGTTTAATGCTCTGTTTCCAGTTTTGTCCATTTCAATGCCGTGTATTAATTTGAAACTGGTACAGCTGGTAGTCTTATTTATTTTTAGAAGAGTGTTCGATCCAATCATATTTATATGTTTGTATACTCAGTAGCTTTCTTGGATCAAACACTATAATTTTTAAATTAATTTATAGAATTGGACAAAACTGGAATCACAGAAATAAAACGACACTGTAGACATCAAACAAAGCACCCCTCAACCATAAAACCAGAAAAGTCCAAACTACCCTTAACTGCTGACGCCAAATGCCAGCACGCCCAGTCCATGAAATGAAAAGGAGGAAGAAAGACCTCACGCCATGACTTTGTTGCATGTCTATCGTCGCATAGTCCGATCAACCCAACCGCGAAACTATTAGTGGGTGTGGGTGAATATTTCTGTAAATATATACAACCTATAGTTTTAGTGATAAGAAGATGATTTAAGAAGACCACGGGAGATGCCGCACAAGGTGCAGATATGCATAGGGTGACACAAACATCTTACTTATAAGAACTCTCACAACAATAAATCTAAAAACATTTTTATTTAGTGTGTTTATTACATCAATGTTAATTTGTTTTGGCAAAGCCATGCCAGTCAATTCACACAATTGGGAAAGAAGTCTTCTTCAGATAGCTAGAAAATTAATAGTTTATCTATTTATATGTAGCTTAGAGAGAAATATTTTTAGCTAGGCATTCTTTGTTCTTTCCTGAAATTTGACCCAAATTCCTCCGATTGGAGCCAATACAAAAGATGTAGGGTGAAACTTGAGTGGGACTTTGGTCTTTGGGTCGAGGCTCACAGTGAATTCAGACATCAACTTTGCAATCGCCACCTTCAATTCCAGAAGGACAAACCTCATAGCTGCAAACAGATTTAAAAAAAAAACAACATTTACTTGAACAATAAACAATGAAGGAGTCAATTTTTTTAGGTAAACTACATACTTTGTTTAAGAAACTGTGATGAATAACCAGGACTATGAATCGAATGAAGATGTGACTAAGTGAAAGAAAGTTCTCTTAAAGCGTTGTTAATAATTAAGTCATGGTTTAAACCAAAATTTCTCAAATACTTTATTAATAAACATGAATACTTGGAACAGAAACAGTACGGATCATAAACATAAACAAATGCATCGCTGGCCCTTTGACTACCAATAGTCAATGCCCGAACCTATACAAATAGCATTAAGATATGATTTTGACAATTCCATTCAAGCAATGTTAAATAATGTTTATTTTCAGGCCAGCAACATCATTTGTTTATGTTTATTATCCATACCGGTTCTGTTCAAGTATTCGTGCTAATAAAATATTTGAACAAATAATAGTTAAAACCTGGTGCATAGGGTTTTTGAACTAGATATTTTAACTATCAAGCAGAAGAACTAAAAATTACATGTATAAAATTAAGAAATGTAACTGTTGTGAGGTAAAACATGCCTGGCTTATTCTAATACAAACATGAAAATAAATGGCATCAGCATCAGTAATCTGACACATACCAATGAATAGACATTAGACATTTTTATTTGCACATAACATTCTTTTAGATGTGATATCAAATCAAATCTTTATTCACCATTAAATAACATGAGTTACAATAGATTTCGTCAAAATTTATAATGTAAATACCTTAAAGACACCTCAAAACATGACTAGACCTACTACAGCATGAAAGACAATTAGTTTAAAGGTTTCCAGAAAATCAAATAAGTAAATAAATAAGCAGTTCAGACAAATGCACCTTGTAAAGAATATTTTTGGTAACTAAGTTAACTTATTGAATAAATAAATACATAAAAACTCCGGTGTATAATTTAAAAAAGAAGGTACTGTACCGGTACATAAATAATTAACATATAGAACAAAATTGACAAACAGCATTGTCAAAATTGAGCCTAGACTAGATAACTTCTCTGGGGTTTAAGGCCATTTATTTTAAACCAATTTTCCATTTCTTTCATAACTTCTGTGAGGGATGTAGAAAGCTCTTCTCTACTATAGTATCGTCAGCAAACAGAATCAGATCTCTATTAATAGCTTTAGGGAGACCATTAATGTAAATTAAAAATAAAAGGGGACCTAAAATGGAGCCTTGAGGCACCCCAAGGTTTATACATTTCCAATGCGAGAAATGCCTGGTTCCTCCATCAGAAATGACAGTTCTTTGTTTCAGATCTGAAAGATATGATCTAATAGGGAAAGATATGATCTAATTAGGGAAAGACAACTTCCTGAAATTTTGTAGTCATGTAGTTTTTGAAGCAATAGCGAATGATCGACGCTATCAAGGGCCTTGGATAGATCACAGAAGACACCAGCTGAATTCCTTGACCCATCCTAAGCCTCCGATACCTCATTAATAAAGTATACAAGAGCTGTATTTGTTCCAAGGTGTTTTCTGAAGCCAAATTGATTTCTATTAATAGCTATTAATACAAACCCCTTTAAGAAACGCAATGCCTTTGTTGAAAATTTAGTCTGGGAATATTTAAATTTCGGATAGTTCCGCTAGGTAGATTAATCGCGAGCGGGCGGCCAAGTCAGCTGACTGAGTGTGAGGAGTGATATAAAGAATCGGCTTAGAGAGAGGGAAGGATAGCGTGGCTGCCGCGTGGGCAATCGTAGCAGCGGCCACGCAAAGCTCAATTCGGCAAACAAATTTCAGTCTGACTATTCTTCATAAGCATTTTGCTTCTTAAAGGGTTAAAAGTATTGCACATACTTTCTCCCATTTGTCAACAACTTGTTTCATGGGTAAGTGGTGGGAGTAACTAGGCTACATGATATTATTTTGGGAAAAAACACAAAAGTGGCAATAACTTGCCATTTTTGGGAAAATTAAATTTTTCCGTTATTTTATGAGAAAATCACCATGAATCAAAATTTTTTTAAAATGAAAAAAACATCTGGAGAAACCCAGGATTAGATCATACATACCAAAATCAGATTACAGGTGTGGTCTTTAGCTCTGTACACGTACAGACACACACACAGACAGATATCTCTTCGAAAACCATTTTTTTGGGTTCAGGGGAACCCAAAACGGATATACTCAAAACTCAAACTCGAAAATTTGGACAAAAACAATACGTTCTCCATTTCATACCATGGCATAGGAGAGAAAAGTAATAAAGTGAGTGTAAAATGAAGTAAGTGATGATCGTTCTTTGAAGCTTTTTTTGCTGACTTAGATCAGCTGGTTCTTTTTCAGGAGTTAAATAATCCTTATATATATACTACGTGAAGGCAATTTCTACAGAAAACTACTCCTCCGTTAATGATGGACGGATTTTTACAAACGATATGTCCATGCAAACATTAAATATTTTTGTGTAGATGCCCCCTTTCACCAATTCCTGTAATAAAAGTCCTCGGGCCTTACCCCACAGGCCTCCCATATTCCCAATGAAAATCCCAATGTATTTCTTATGAAGAAAAGATTTTGTTTACTTAAACCGACAAATAATTTGAATTAATTACTGCTGTTCATAGTAAACACATGATACATACAAAAGCTTTCGTTTTCAGAGTGAGTTCTATTTCAGTTTTGATAACTGGAGTGGAGTGATTGATTACACTATCTTTGAGTTGACTCTTTAAGTTATCGGAAATTTGTTATGACTGTTATTTGTCAGCTGTTATTGAAACTAACTCTTCTTAGGATCAAAGCTATCTTTAGACTCACAGGCAAGCACCATATACACTCAGCTGTAAGCTATAATTTATATTACTAATGAGGTTTATGTTACCTGGCTTCTGTCTACGATCCACAGTAGTTTTAGGTTTTAGGAAACTACAGCTGTTTCATGCCTCTATTATTGGCACATCATCAGGTTTGTTGAACGCCAGCTTCCTTATACATCCCTCGGTCACAACTTACCCTTCACCGCCGTATCACGTTTCGCAGTCAGTCGACTGTCCTTAAATAATGTTTAAATGTTTGTGTTTCCGTGTGTGTAAGTGTCTTCATGTTCATTGTAAAACCATGACGAACTCGACACCGAGGGATGTAAAAGGAAGCTGGCGTTCAACAAACCTGTTGATGTGCCAATAATAGAGGCATGAAACAGCTGTAGTTTCATAAAACTACCATGGATCATAGACAGTGAAGCGAGATAACATAAACCTTATTAGTGCTAATTTTAACGATCCAGTGGCCAACCATCATGATAATTTAAATTTAGCAAAATATATCAAACCTGATACATACCTATACAAACTCTAGGACCATCACCGAAAGGATGATATGTGCCTGAAAT